TGCCTTTTTTTTTTTTAAGAACAGTTCTTGGTGTCCATGAAAACTTAAGTGAAAGGGTGCAAGATCATTTGCAAAGATTTGGTGTTTATTTTTTTATTCATAGGCAATTTGAAATTTGGACATTCTCTGATTATTAGTTATGCTGAGAGAGCGAGTTTTGTTTTTCATTTTTAGACGATTTGGTGATCCAGAATTATGCTTCTGTCCCTGTCCCAGCCACCCAGAACCTCCGCATTCATAGCTTTGTTGCATTATAGAAAATAGATTTGAATATATTATGTCATCCAATTTATAGGTTTTAAAAGACTATGTATAGTCAATTGAATCTATCAATTACTCTATGCAAGGAAATGGTGTTGCATGGAGTTAGAGCTTGCTCTTGAAAGGTATTTTATGATTAATTTTAAAAATACAATTTTTTAATTTTAGTTTCCTGAACAGTTTAAAACCAATAATACATGATTAATAAATATTTCTGGATTAATATAGAAAATATTCTTATAACAAAAAATTAAAAGTAGCAAAGTAAGACTATACTTATTGTATTTTTAGAGTGCTTTATAGAAGTAGTTGATCAAAAAGGTTTTTCTCAGTTCTCCAAATTCAGTGTTTTCTTTAGCCTTTGCTGTTAACTGCATTTTGACAGTTCTCTGCCATTTGATCTCCCTCACAATCCAGCAGGTAACTTAACTCCCATGTTTAAAAATTAAAAGCTAAAATGTAGATGAAATGACTTGCCTGGGTTGCACATCTAGCAGAGGAGAGGCAGAGACAAAAACTGACTTATTATTGTCACCACAACACTGAGTAAGATAGTCAGCTCCTGCATTGTTCCTGCATATTATAGTTGAATTTTAACTTCCATGTGAAGAGAAATATATAAACATTTGCCCCATGTGACTCATAAGTTAAGGTAAATTTCTGTTCATTTTCTTCTTACTTAGAGTTATAAATAAAAACTCTATAGTTGAGGAGGAATGTTTGAAAGGCAGGAAAAATATACATTGGTAAATGTTTAGTTATTCAAATCAGAATTTACTTGCTGGCACTTTATTTTTGTAAAATAGTCACTTCTCATTTATTATCAGGAGGCTTTCTGTCATAATATTTAACAAAAGGTAAACACTTCAGAAGTTTATAATAAAAACCACTTGGCTCTCTAGACTTGCTTAATGAGTAGTCTAGCTTGTCTCTTGTGAATGTCAAACTTACATAATTGAGTTTTGCTAGCCTCATGATATTGTTTATGGCATGACATGTTGTATACACACTGTTATTACAGACATTAAACAGATTTGTCAACAAGTGATGGCAAAGAATTATAATTCAGTCTCCTGTGAATTTCATTATGTGGTGAAGGAAAAATTGGATGGTTTACTTCCTGTTAATTGACACACAGAACAACTCCATGCCCTGCTCAATGCCTCTCATTAAAAAATAAAACAAAAGCATACATCAAAAGAGGTTTAATCCTGTACCTGTCAGTAAAAATTTATTCACTCTGTATACTTTGTGTTAATTTTCAGCTCAAATGTAGATCTTTAAAAATTAAGCATGTATAATAGTTGTCTGAGGTATTCTGAGCCAAAAAGCTTACATGTTATGAGTCATATTAGGTAGCTTTTTGGTAATAGATTTTGTTAAATGAATGGTTTTTAAAGTTTTATTTGTAATTTTGATTTTCACATAGTATTAATATTTCTTGAATTTATTTATATAGTCTCAGTGGAACCCTAATACTTATTTTAAAACAAATCAGGAAAAGTACAATAGAATTTCTTTTCAAATCATACCAAGTGAACATGTTTCTGAAACTCTTTTTTTTTCCCCCCTTCAAGGGAGGAAGTGTGGCAGGGAAATAATAGATAGAGCAATTAATTGATCATGTGCACGTACCAAATGTACATGAATATGTGAGCCGTAGACTACAAAACAAACATCACTACAAATCCCTATGGAAACATACCCCCAAATTCAGTTTTAAGTCCAATGCTGTTTTTAAAGGATTTATTATTATTATTTTAATGTAATGGAATCTGCATTGGATGTTTTCAAAGGCATTTAAAATTTTTTTCCAAATTGTGCTAACAACCACTGACAATTAGATTTAACTATAATAGTCTTCTTTAGCTTATTTGTCATACACTATGTCTGATAAAAAAAAGTATCTGGGAACTTCTTAACTTTTCTAATGTTATTCTGGATTATAAAAGCGAGCTGAACATTACATATTAGTGAATCATTTTGTACCAGCTAGAAAGACAGATGGGTAGTGAGCAGTTTAAAAACCTTTGTAAATAGGAGGACAGATGGGTGGTTTAAATGTTTTAAACATCTCCATGAAAATGTTCCTGTGGAGAGTGTGACTCCTGAAGTTACATATTAAAAAATCCAATTAATAATTAGGAATAATAGAGTTTACATAAAAAGTAACATTTAAAAATGTAACAAACTATGGAATTTATTGAATTCACTAGTTACACTTTTTTAAACTTGTAAAAAAATTAATAAATTAGAACACAATATTGGAATATTTTTGCCTGGTATATACTTGCTTTATTGTTTTATTGTGAACATTTGGACTCTAGAAAACTTTTTTTATTATTTGGAGTCAATTTATCTGCATCAGGGCAATGATCTTTTGGACTGGCTATTGTCAGAATTTGTCAAATTTCAAGTAACAGAAACTTAAAGTAGCTTAAAAATGGTAAATCTTGCCCCCTCCCCCCCCCAAAAAAAACCCTAAAGGGCCTTAGAAAGGACTTTGGCAGCTTCTGCAGTAGGTGTTCAGAGACTTTCACTCTTTTTCAGGCATTAATGTGACTTTAGCTCCCAGCCAAAGGACTGGTTTCTTTAGTAACTGAACAGAAGGAGGAGGTGTTCATGAGAATGTTAAAAGTCATTTGTGATTAGTATTGTTGAAGTGATTTATTAATTGCTAAATTAAAAAGTCATTAGTGCCATTTAGAGTGAGATAAAACTTTTCTATTGATTTATATTAACTGAGGCAAAAATGAACATTAAAAAAATTAAACTGAATTAAAATGAACATAAAAAAATTAACTGAGGCAGAAGGAACATTAAAAAAATTCAAAATTAAAATATAATAGAATTTTGAAAAAATCACAAAGCATTCTTTATATAATAAGAGGACAAATTATTTCATGAATTTTTATTTATGTTTATATTTAAAAATTTGTATGATTATTTACTGGTGAATGAAATAAAATATATTACCCAAATATATTATCCGGTGGGTCATTTGTAGTCAAAAAGTGAGCAAACCACCTTTTTTAGGGGCTAATGATATTTTTTCTGATTCTTTCAGATAGAACTGAATGAATATACTTGCTCCTATCCCGCCTCTCTAGTATTAGAACCTCTTCCCATTCAGCAGTGAGAGGGGTTAGGAAAGGTACTCTTAAAAAGTTAAATAGGATATCTACGGCAACATTTTGTGAATAACTTGAACAATTATTAATATCACCATGTGGAAGGAACCAGCTAATGAAGTGTAACTAGAGATTTATGATCTGTAAAATAAGTATGTGCAGCTCCCTAGAAGTGCGTGGTGGTTCCATTACTTGGAAGCACTAGAATTTATTGGTAGCAGAGACGTACCAGTCTGCTAGACAGGTTTTTTAACTTTTTCACCAGCTAGATATAGTTACTGTCCCTCAGAATTAGAGGGATGATGAGAAAATCAAGGGAATTCTGTTGTTCTGCCTGAGCATAGTTTAAGGGTCTGAGGTCTTCTCCTTCTGCAAAAACCCTGATTTTTCCTCTGCTTTTGGCCCTTGGGAATGTTTCTCTGATCCCTATCCATAGGGGATACTCAGGTGCTGAGCCCAAACAGAGTGGCAGCAGAGGAGAACCTCTGGCGTCGGAAATTCTCAACCTAAGATTTATTTGGGGGAGAGGATTCATTTGGAGGACTCTCCTTGGAAAGAGGGCAAAAATTAACAAATATTTTCAAAAGTTTATTCCCTAAATGTAAGTAATTGCCAAGAAATACTTGTTTAGTTTACATCAAAATTAAACATCTACTTAAAAATTGTATTTATTTATATAGTCATTTATATTATTAGTCTGTAAATATTTTCTGAATGATTTTAGTAAAGGAACCACAAAACATTTTAGTTTATAATATTATATTTACCTCCTAGAATTGTCCCTTATCAAGTCTAAATTTCTCTGCTTGATTTTCACATCATTCACAACCTAAAATTGCCCTACTTGTATGGACATATTTTCTTCACTTCCTCAAAATTTGCTCTATTTGAGCTTATCTCTTTGCCTGTCTATATATCATTACCTTTTCTTTCTATGTTTTTCACTGAGTAGTCCAAATCACCACACCATGGGCTTTATGTCAACGACTCTGCTTTGCCAAATACTGAATACCCAGTGTTCAGCACAATTCCTGGTGGTGATCAGTTAATAATAGTCATTGAATGAAAGGAAAGAAGAGAGGGAGAAAAAGAGGGCGAGGGGGAGAACTACCGTCTCTACTGTGTTTCTTATGCCTTTCCAGACTTGTCCCACCTTTTCAAGTCTGTTTGCTCCACAAAGTGTTTTCTGACTTCCCTTGTCTTTGTTGATATCTCAAGCACAGATTTTAAAATTTTATGTTATTTACAAACTTTCTTGTTTTCTTGGTGTTACAATTTAATGTGCACTGTTGTTTCAATTTGGTGTAAGCTGCTTGAACCCGGGAAGAATCATGTATCTGTACAGTTTTACAAAAAAAATTGTACATTATTCTTCATTCACCAAACATTTATTGCATGCATGCCTCCCTTTAGTGCAGCTTCAGTGTAAAGTATTGGTAAAGGAACAGTACATTGCATTGACCTAAGTACATAGTAAATGTTCAATAAATTTTTGATTATCCATAAAATGTGTGAAATAACATAAAATAGTGGTGACTCAGTTTGCACACAGAGAAGATAAAACTTTTTTATTATCTCTTTTATAACTTTCTTCATTGGTTTCTTTAGGGAAAGAAACTGAAAAGGCCAAGGAACGTTATGACAAAGCCACCATGAAACTTCATATGTTGCATAATCAGTATGTGTTGGCATTGAAAGGGGCACAGCTTCATCAGAGTCAGTATTATGACACCACACTTCCTCTGCTTCTGGACTCCTTACAAAAGATGCAGGAAGAAATGATAAAAGCACTGTAAGTGACATTTCATATTTGACATAAAATCCCATCGTAAAGTGATTTTCCTTATTGACCCAGACCAATCGGTGTTTCAGACCTGTTTTACCTTGATTCTTCTTGATTTTCACTTCTGGTATCCCTTTACTTTCTGCTTATTTCCTTAACCTTCCAGCCAAGAATTGCCCTCATTTTGTATGTTTTTTTTTTGTTTTGCTTCAATTAGCTGGAAATTTATATGAAAAAATTTCATTGTTGACTAGTGTTAAGTGGATACCTGTCTCCACAAGGTTGGGTATTCAAGTTTTGAGCAACAGAAAAGCCTGAAGGAAAGAATTTTTTGAAGGTTTATCTGCCATCCTCTTGTAGCATGAGATTAAAAATCAACAAATATTTATTAACATTTTACTCTATCTAAAGCACATTGAATACAGAAATGAGTAGGCCATAATTTTTACTTTCAAAGAAGTGCACACATGTGTACCATACGCATCAATACACAGCAACAGAAAAAGTCTACCCTTTGGTAGACTTCATTTCCCTTATTAGCTGGTTTAAAAGATCCCCCATTTTCCCCACTAGAAGATAAATAAAGTGTTTTTTAGTCAACTTAAATATGCAAACTTTTAAGATTGTTGATAAACTAGTGAAATGCGAACTTAAAATACTTAATTTATAAATTTAGTTATATCTACTTTAAATTACATATTGTTGATTCAGAAATATTTATTCTCCTTTTCTCATTTAATGAATCAATATTTTTCAAACTCTTCACATGACTTTTTACTCATGCTATCTCATTGTCACTAGAATATCTTTTTGAGACATATAATGGTTTCCTACAGCATGTAATCTTTACTTCCTGAGAAATTGTTTCACATCTAGCATTTAAAAAATTCAAGCATGGCAATATCCCTGAGATTGAACCCCATGACACAGGCATTCATACAACAGTAGGAGACTTCATCCTCCCCCAACCCCATTTGTCTTAAAGGTGAATATTCATGATCTCCACATCGTGATGACTTACTATATTGCTTTATAAGAGTTATCTACATAGGCTTATTTACATTTGTATCATTGATTGCTTTGAATTATTAGGTCATAATCTCAGTGATATTCATGAAATCCCCATTACATTTCTCTGTCCTCCCCCCTTTAAAAAATTGTGTCCGTCCGGTGATTTCTATAATCATTCCAAACCAGCATTGCTTAAAACAGTTTACATCAACTTTTTTTACCCAAACATTATTTTGCTATTTAAAATAAAGTGAGAGAATGGTTCGTAATCAGAGAAACTTTGTAATGATTTTGGAAAAGTAAAACAAACAATTCCTTATATTTATCTGGGCTTGCGCAGCATAAGCTTGTCTGTCAACACTTGTTGAGGCCAGTAATGTCCAATGGTAGAGCGTTCTCAAGTTGGGATCAGGTCTTTATGACAGAGTAGTTTTTCCTTTTGCACTTATTAGGTAATGCTAAAAAAAAAATTATGACATTTTTGCTACTGACTGGAGGCCAGAAGAAGAGATTAGATGTTGTTGAAGGTCGAAGAGCAGAGGCCCAGGAGCAAGAGAAGAACTAAGTGGGAGGGCTTGTGAGAAAGTGGCAGACACTAGGAAGAAACATTAAAGAAACAATTGTGGATCCACAGTTCCATGATGTGGAATCCAACATTTCTATGATAATGTTGAGAAATACAAAGGGATCAACACTGACCTTACATTTAGACATCTCAAATACAGGTTGGAAATGGTAATGCCTTATTCTAGATAATTTGCAGTTATTATATTTTATCAAATATAAATTGCTAATTTGTACATTTGTGTAATCTGTTCACTTTACTACTATCCAAGTATATGAAAAGAAGGTGATACATAAAACCACCATCTGTAAATATTGATATTCCATTTCTTACGTTTATTGTTGTGACTCCGTTTTGGTTCTCTGTTTTCTTGATAACTTAAAAATGTTGTAAAATTTTATTTTTGTTTTCAGAAAAGGCATATTTGATGAATACAGCCAGATAACTAGTCTTGTTACTGAGGAAATCGTAAATGTCCATAAAGAGATTCAAATGTCGGTTGAACAGATAGACCCTAGCACAGAGTACAATAATTTTATAGATGTTCACAGGTATGTATATTTCACATTTCAGTATTGATGACAGTATTATTTTTTATATCATATAATGTATAATCAATTAAAATAAGAAATATTGAAGTGCTTGTTAGAACATTAGATATTTCAGAATAATTTGTCTGCTTTTAATCATTTTCAAAGCCTTTTTTCCATGAAGATAACTATTTATATAGTGATCTTTAAAAATTTGTCAGTTTTCACTACATCATTTCTTAAGCCTATTTTTAATCCATGAAATTATATTTTTTAACATTTCTATAATAATAATACTCTGTATATTAAGCTTTATAATATACCAGTTACTTTTCTGTACATTCATCATCTTATTTTATACTCATTACCATTGTGTCAGGAATAATACCACTTAATATCCACATTCTATCAGTGAGGAAATTAAGGCTAAAATTACATCACTAGATTTTTGATACCAGGGTTTAATTTGATTTATTCTATTTATGTTTACTGTACTTTGTTAATATAATTTTTGATGAGAAAAAATATTCTGCGTTTGGTATGTACTAAGATGAATTATGATAGGATATTCATATTGATCAAAATTATTTGGCATGCTTTACTAGAACTTCAGCTGCTAAAGAGCAAGAAATTGAGTTTGATACTTCCTTACTAGAAGAAAATGAAAATCTTCAGGCAAATGAGATTATGTGGAATAATTTAACAGCAGAAAGTTTGCAAGTAATGTAAGTATTTGGAAAGACTAAACAGTTTAAATATTAGCATTCTTACAATATTTATAGCTGTACATTCTGAAATTTAAAATCCCAATTTTTATTCTTTGCAAGTAATAAAAAATAAAATAATCTGTTGTTTGGTCAGGATGAAATGTTTTGAGAACCATGTTAACTTTTACTCATTATCCACTGATTAATTTGGGTAATTCTGAAAATCAAAATTCTGTGTGATATATTCATTCAGTTATTTCTAATATCTTATATTGAGACAATGTTTTATTCTTTTCAAAACTTATTTTTTAAACCCATTTCATCCTCAAAACTTATTGGCAGGACCATTTTGGAAATGAGGGTGTGGGTGTTAACGATGAGACTCACAGATGTCAGCAGCATTTAGTACAAAAATTATACTTGTAACTGAGTTATTTTAAGGCAGGGATGTCTTCTATTATAGGCTAGCAAATGAATTCCTTCTTCACTTTATTGTTGCTGTTTCATAGAGTTTTAAAGGAGTTCTGAGTAACGTTAATGTGTATTTTTAATCTTTTTAAAGTATTAAAGCCTATTAATAGTACGTTTTTAAATTTGGAAAATATAATTAAGCCATTCTACTTTTAAATATTTAACTTGTCTCGTGATTTTTTTCAGGACACTTAAATCTGTTAATAAACGCTGTATGTACTTGTTTCTGTGTCAAAACCACAACTAGAAGTGATTATGCATCCATTTTCTCTTTAATATTAAGCATGTTATATTATCTGCCCTGTTGGAAGTTTACCTCCAGAGTTCAGCCAGAAGTCCCCATCTAATATCATTAAACAATCTCCTTTCTATTGTTCAGTGTTATAGATAAATAGCTGAAAGGTAGCATTCTGGGACTAACTCTTGGAAAGGGGTAAAATATCTTTAAAGTTGGCCTGGTGGGTTTGAGGAAACTAACCAATGCGTGTTGAATCACCTATAGAAGATGAAGGCTTAATAATTATGGTGGATTGACTGTAGATGAGAGGAATGGAGGCACAGGAGTACCCTGCATTAGGTTTTTCCTGGCAACCATGTTGGGATTCTTGAAGCTGTTCCCCAAGTTTTGAAGCATTTCACAGTGGCTTCACTTTGGTTTTAGATATACTGTTACAGTGTCAGTTATCTCCAAACCAGTGCTTCTCACCCTGGGTGAATTCTGTCCTGTGGGGAAATTTGACAATACCTGAAGACATTTTTGTTTATCAGGTGGGAAAGTGTTACTGGTGTGTAGTGGGTAGAAGCCATGGATGATGCTGAACATCCTGCAGCCACAGGACAGCCTCCTACAACAAAGAATTACCTGGTGAAAAATGTCAGTAGTTCCAAGGTTGAGAAATTCTGCTCTAAACAATAGAATTGAATGTGTAGCACAAAATGGACTGTAGAGTTTGTCAATTCTTGTGCAGTGACAAATTCCATTTCTTAATTCCTGTGCTGCTTGGTGAAGGAATATGACATAAATTACTCCTGTTTTTTAAATTATTACATTGCTCCCAAATAATTTATTCATTTAGTCATCAAAAATATATTTTCTGTGTATTTAAGGTTGCAAAGGGTTAATCATTTTAAGGAGTTTATACCAAAATTCATTAATTTATTTTAATAAATACCAAGAAAGATTGAGCATATAAATATTGGAGTGTAATGTGGTAAACTTAAAAATAGCTACCTGTTAACACTTTTGTAAAATAAAAGATTTTTTAACCAAAGAAGAATTTGTTTTATTGCTTTTCAGGGTATAATGAGGGCAAGACTAATTATGCTCATAAATCATTATTTTTAATTATGATAAAACAATTAACAAAAATGTAATAAACTAAAGGTAATAAATCTTTGATAATGTGATAGAAGATTTACTTGCTTACACCTCTTACTGAGGCAAAACTTTAGTTATATTTCATTGAATAGCATCTAAATTCAGGGTATGAGTTTAAGATTAGGTTTTTCTCAATAATTTTATTCCAGGAATGAGCTATTCAGTGTGTCTGTTGGGACTGTCAAGATAATCTAAGGTAATTCTGTAAGGTAATTCTATACACACACACACACACACACACACACACACACACACACACACACACACACGGTAGAGCAAAAGGAGGTTTACAGTTGTTGATATGGAAAGTAATACAATAAAAGAATAAGTAATAATACAAGAATAAGCTGTTTTATATACTCACAACTGTAAACCTACTTTTGCCCACATTGTATGTTTGTATATACATAGACTATATCTTGAAATGGTGGTGAATGGATGGGGCAAGTAAGGGAGCATGTTGGGGCTAATATAATAATGTTAAATGTGGGTTTATTCCTCATCTCTTTACATTTTTTTTGTTAGCACAATTTTCTTCAGAATATTAGGTATTTATTTTTTGTTCCATCGTGTCAGTTCCTTCTACTAAACATTTGTTTCTGAATTACATTGCTTTAAATAGTTTTAGAGTTGAACATCCTCAAAAGCTCTGTTTGAAAATGCTAATATTTTATGGGCTGTGCTTCCCTGTATTCTGCATTTTTTTCTTAGCCCATTTCAGAGCTCGAATGCATTAATATCGAATGATATTCAGGAAAACATCAGAAATATTTTCCTTTTTGTTTTTCAGTCCTTTATGTTTGTTTAAGAGGTCAGTGACCTTGTCCATTGTGAAAGGTTACATTAATTTGGAAGCGAGAATCATTAATTTGTGACTCCTGGATACTTTCTCTATAAATAGGAGTCCTACTGGCAATCGGCCAGACTGCTGATTAGTAGTGACTATGAAAGAGAGAAAATTGGACCACATTTGTCTTGGACTCTTCAAAATCTTGGCTAGCTGTCAGATGTTGTGAATGATTAATTAACATCTTGAGTGACTGAGTGAATGAAGGCTGTTTTATGGAGAGCCTTCAGGGAGTTTCTAAATAGTGAGTCTTGTATCTGTCTTCATATCAGAGTCACTTAGGCAGCTAGAGAAGATGGTGATGCCAGGGACCCAACCCTAAGCAACTAAATGACATTTTCTGAGGGTAAGATAGGGTACTGGAATTTATGGTGAACTTCGCATGTGATTTTAACATGCAGACAGGAGTCAAAATTTCTGTCATAAGCCCCTTAAAATTGTTTGTAGAAATGTGTAGATTGCCTCCTGGGGGGGAAGTCCCTGAAAATTTTTAGAGCACTTCATGACCCAAAATGGGTAAGGACTACTACTTTTGTATTTAAAGAATGTTTATATTTCTCAAATTGTATAGAATTATTGGGGAAAACTAGCATCTTTACAGTAGACTAACTAGAATTCCTTTTGACTCTTTGTTTTTTCTTTCGATCTGTTGTTATTCTGAGCCAGTCTTGACTTGGAAGGTATTTGAGATTTAAATAAATGTCCTTTTCCTAAGGTTATCTCTTTCACTTTGCTAGTCATAAAGAGACACCTTTTTTTTTTTTTTTGCTTTTTTTAGATTCTTAAATGTAACAAAAATTATTTTCATTAGCAGAAAGTAACTCATAAATAATTTATATTATTGTTTTTTGTTTATTGTATCACATAGAGTTTTCTCAAATGCATGTTAGAGGTTCTGAGATTATTATGCAACTAGTATCTATATCTAAATCAAGATTATGTAGTGTTGCTGCCTGCCCTTTTCCAGACTTGATGGAAATCTAATGACATAATAGTAAGTGACAAAGTTATTACATTTACCCACCTAAATGTGTGCCACTCAGCATTTTATCATCCTCTTATTATCTATCAACTATATTTATAAACATTGCATATATATAGAAGATTTAAACTCAGCTATTTGTTGGATTGTTTATTTCCCATGTATGGGAAATATTTTTGCTTGGTAGATCACCATAGTGATAGAAGCCTATTTCTTGGTCTCTCATAATTTCTAACATTGGAGGCCTGAGAATGTCTTGCCGCCACACATGCACTTAGGTTGTGTTACTTTCAGGCTTGAGCCTGATGTTGTTCCCTTTGCCTCTGTTATCTGCAGCCTCGCTCCTTCCCCTTCAGCAACCTTCCCCTATCAGCTTGTACTTTGGATCTCCCTTTGTCAAATGCTGGAAGAGATACTATTCTTTGATTTTTAATCATCCACTTATTATGATTATAAACACAGATATTTCTTCTAATGTATCATTATCGAATTGAATAATTGTAGTTTATCAAAACAACTTGAAAAAAAGGTCTATAGAGTTTTGAAATAAGAATGTATTTATTTAAGTGTTTCAAATGAAGCCTCTTTATTGTAAGTTTTACTATCCATCAATAGGAAATATATTTGAATTCTAGTCATGTAATTTAGGCCCAACCTTAGGCCTCATGTTTTCTAGTGTATTTTAAAAAAAAACTAAAATAATCATGAGTTTATCTTTTACAGTGGGATGTAAATAAGATACATTACTTGAATAGTGGTAATTTTATATATGGAAAGCCTTTTTCTCTTGGATTTTTTGTGGGATATGAGTTAGCAAACTACCACCTGTAGGCTAAATCCAGCTTGCCACTTATTTTTATGCAGTCTGTAAGCTAAGAAAGCTGTTTGTTTTTAAATGGTAAAAAAAAAATCAAAAGGAGAATTAATATTTTTTGATCTGTGAAAATTACATAAATTTTAACATCAGTCCATAAATAAAGTTTTATTGATACACATCTTCACTTGTTCATTTATTTACCTTCTGTCCTATAGGTGATCTCCTACTATAGCGGCAAAGTTGAGCACTTGTGATAGAGATCATGTATGCATTCTCATCACTTCACGCTGCTACCTGGTGCATTGCAGATCAAAGTGACACAGTTATAACTCAATAGCATTTTGAGTGCCACACATACTGCTATACAACATATTTTATTTACTGTTTAATATCAGCCCATGCCTATTAATTCAAAACAAGAAAAGAAAATGGGTTTTGAATGTCACACTTTAAAGACACAGTGGAGTGTAGATTATTTTGTCATTGAATTAGATGGTAAAGCATTGTGCTTATTTTGCAGTGA